TTATATTCGTAATCTTTATAAAATAAGCTTTAAAATGAGTCCAAACACGACGCATTTATTTAAAAAAACAAAAAAGTTAGAATATGAAACAATAAACCCGAAGTTGGCAACAATGAAGATAACAATTTAATTTTTAAATATTAATACCAACCTTAATTTTTTATTTTTTTATTATAAATTTGTTTTTGAGACAAATAAGAAGACATTTTATAAAAATGAAAAATATGTCAAAATGACATTGACATTTCAAACCGGAAGTTGACCATAACTTCATTAATATTGAAGATAAATATGTCGTGTTTGTACTCATTTTAAAGGATTTTTAATGAAGATTACAAATATGTCAAAATTGAGGTTGACATTTTAAACGTGAAGTTAATTATCATATAATAGACAACTTCATGGTGTTCTTTCATGTTGTATTCTTTATTAAAAAACCTTTAAAATGAGTCCAAACATGACGCACTTATCTCAAAAAACAAAAATATTTGAATAAAAAAACGTTAAACCTGAAGTTAGCAACAATGAAGATAGCAATTTAATTATTAAATATTAATACCAACCTTAATTTTTAATTTTTTTTATTGTATTTTTGTTTTTGTGACAAATATTAAGACATTTTATAAAAATTAAGAATATGTCAAAATGACATTGACATTTCAAACCGGAAGTTGCTTATATCTCAATTAATAGTGGAATTAAACGTATCATGTTTGGGCTCATTTTAAAGGATTTTTCACGACAATTACAAATATGTCAAAATTGACGTTGACATTTGTAACCGAAAGTTGACCATAACTTCATTAATATTGAAGATAAATATGTCGTGTTTATACTCATTTTAAAGGATTTTTAATGAAGATTGCAAATATGTCAAAATTGAGGTTGACATTTTAAATCTGAAGTTAGTTATCATATAATAGACAACTTCACGGTGTTCTTTCATGTTGTATTCTTTATTAAAAAAACCATTAATTCATGTTATTAGTTAAATTTTCTTAATAAACAATTTTTAAAAAATTTTACGTCATCGTAAAGAGAAAACAAATCTCTTTCAAATGAGCCTAACGAAAGGATACATTGCCATTTAAAAAACTTCAAGTGTTATTCGTCGCTCATTTGTTTTCTGAAATAAAAACAATTGAATGCCGTATTATGGCAAACAAAACTTATAACCAATACTCAACGGATCTTGGTAGTATAGTTCGCGCATCTGTTTCTATTTTATCCCGCCAGCGATCACCTGGTCTTTCCACTGATCGTCTGCCTTCAACTTCCTTCAGAAGCACTCTTTTGGCCAGCCTTTAACGTCCATTCTTTCTACATGACATGGGAGAATTTTTTGTTCCTTGGGAAGATCACATGTGTTATGGCTGTAGTATTATGGCGACATCTAGCGGCAGAATTGTAGAACGCTCAAGTGTACAAACTAGATTCTTTAATCATTTTAGTTGTTTTATGTTAAACAATATAACATAGTTTGAACATTTTGAGACCTATGTTCAGTAGTGATCGCCAAAGGTTTAGAGAGAGATCTGATCTTCTCTATGCAGTATCTAGTCTTTTACCAGCAATTAACAGAAATATTATCTAGTCGTTTGAAAGCATTACATAATCAATCTAATCTTCTACCAGCAGTATTTAGTGTTCTGCAAACAACATCTACTCATCTGCAAGCAGTTTTGAGTTCTCTAGAAGAAGTATTTAGTTTTCTTTTAGCAGTATTTAATCTTTTGCCAGCAATATCTAGGATATATATCTCTCATGGCAATGTAGCACTATATACAGTGTGTCCCAGGATAGATGTTACAAGAAATTTTTAAGTCATTAAACCTCTTGTAACATCTATCCTGGGACATACTGTATATATAAATATATAATATAAGATAAATAAATATCAATATTATCCTGATTAAATATAACTGTTTTATCGACATCGTTAATGTAGGTTTGCTCTTATAGATGGCGGTATATACAAAATTTGAAATATTTTTAATGTTTTTTTTTACTAATGTCAATTAATTAATTATAATAAGATAATTAATGAAATAGAATTAATCTGATTAAATTATTTTGTGCTCTCATTAAACGTCCCGTAAAAAAATAAAGAAAATCTTGGCATGAAGCGCTTATTTTGACATCGAGATATATTTCTAGCGAGAAAAGAGCCTCTGGCAGTGTCCCATTAACGTTTTCAGGCTGAAAAATTCGTTCCCAAGGAACGACCGACCGTTTTATTCGGCCATTATCGACAGGATGTTGTCTATTCGAACGCAAAAAAATAAAATACCTCAACGATAAAAAGATACGTATTTTTAGAGACTATAT